CGGGTTGAGGTCAGGACTCTGTGCAGGCCAGTCAAGTTCCTCCACCCCAAACTCGCTCATCCATGTCTTTATGAACCTTGAATTGTACACTGGTGTGCAGGAAGGGGCCATCCCCAAACTGTTCCCACAAAGTTGGCAGCATGAAATTGTCCAAAATGTCTGCTATGCTGAAGAGTTCCCTTCACTAGAACTAAGGGGCCAAGCCCAACCCCTGAAAAACAACTCCACAACATAATCCCCTCCTTCCACCAAACTTTACACTTGGCACAATGCAGTCAGGCAAATACCGTTCTCCTGGCAACTGCCAAACCCAGTCAGGTCCATCAGATTGCCAGACAGTGAAGCATGATTTGTCACTCCAGAAAACACATCTCCACTGCTCTAGAGTCCAGTTGCGGTATGCTTTACACCACTGCATCCAACGCTTTTGCTTTGGTGATGTAAGACTTGGATGCAGCTGCTCGGCCATGGAAACCCATTCAATTAAGCTCTCTACGCACTGTTGTGCTAATCTGAAGGCCACACAAAGTTTGCAGGTCTTTAGCTATTGACGCTGTGCACTGCGCACTCAGCATGCGCTGACCCTGCACTGTCATTTTACGTTGCCTACCACTTCATGGCTGAGTTGCTGTTGTTTCCAGTTTCTTCCACTTTGTTATAATACCACTTAACAGTTGACCGTGGATTATTTAATAGCAAGGAAATTACACGGATGGACTTATTGCACAGATTGCAACCTATCAAGGTACCACACTTTAATGCAATGAGCTCCTGCATGCGATTCCTTCACAAATGTTTGTAGAAGCAGTCTGCATGCCTAGGTTCTTGATATTTTTTACACCTGTGGCCATGCAGGTGATTGGAACAACTGAATCCAATGATATGGAGTTGATTTCAAAATGAAGTATGATTAGCAAAGGTGTCTCAGCAGCCCCATTGTCAGTAGCAGCTGCAGTAGGCCTGCCTGTCTGAGTTTTCCACTAGAAATAAAAAGAAGAGAATAGAATAGAGACATGAAAAGTAGCAGGGGAGAAGGGATGGAAAGAAGAAGACAAATAAAAAAGAGGGGGGTGGGGGCAGGAAGGGTTTTTTTCTTTATAATACTCACAATACATGTATGGTAAAGAGACATATCACCTCAGTGTTCCCAACTCAGGTTTTGTCTTATGGCTTCCTCAGGGAGATTTTTATTGCTGCTCTGCTTACAATGGCATAAGTAACCCGCAAACATTGCAAAAGTCAGATAGTATGATGTGTAATGAGATATATACCAAAGTTTGTAGACGCTATAACTTTCACACAAACCAATTCATATGCACGTATTAGGATTTTTTTTTTTTTTACCAAAGACATGCAGCAGAATACATTTTGGCCTAAATTTATGACTACATTTGAGTTTATTGGATATTTTTTTATACCAGAAAGCAGAAAATCATTTCTTTTTAAAATTTTTGGTATTTTTTTGTTTATATGACAACAAATAAAAAACCCAGTGGTGATCAAATACCACCATAAGAAAGTTCTATTTGCGTGATAAAAAGGACATGCATTTTGTTTGGGTACAGCGTTGCATGAAATTGAAATAGTTGAAATAGTGCAGTGCCAAATAGCAATAAAATGGCCTGGTTAGGGGGGGGGGGGGGGGGGGGGGGGGGGGGGGGGGGGGGGGGCCTTCTGGGGCTTAAGTGATGTGTTCACTGTGGCTAACATGCATTCTACCTTGGACACCTTGGTGCTGCATTGCCAATAATTCCACTAAAAAGTTAATCAGGCTTGGTAAGCTTTAACTATATACAGATCTCATACATATGTCTACATACAGTATGTCAGCATGGTTGGTGCTTGCAGTATAGTACTACTACGGAAGATTTATTTTATTAGCTCAGAGGGAAACTAGAATGATTTGGGGTAATTTTTTTACCTTTTGAAAGTTTACAAATGTTTATTATCTTTGTATTTATTTATTGTTCAATATCTGTATCAAATCTGTATTATCCTTTTAAGGAATTCTGAAGATTCTACCCCCTTCATGACTAGGTAATTTTTTGCTATTTAACACTGTGCTACTTTAACTGGTAATTGCACAGTCATGCAACACTCTACACAAATGAAATTTAAATCTTTTTTCCACACATTTTGGAAAAAAACTATATTTTTTCTTTCTGCTATAAAACATATCCAACAAATTTCTTTTTAAAATGAAATTTCTTCATAAGTTTTGGCCAAAATGTGTTCTGCTACATATCTTTGAAAAAAAAAATCCCAATAAGTGTATATTGATTGGTTTGCCTGAAAGTTATAGCGCCTACAAACTATGGTATATATACTGGATTTTGACAGTGATCAGTGACTTATAATGGGACTGCAATAGTGTGGCGGGCAATCTGAACTGATGCTGGGGGAACTAACTAACTGCCACTGAAATTACCAGTGACATTAATACAGTGATTTGTGATATTACTATTCACTGTCACTGTACTAATTACACTGGTTGGGAAGGGGTTAACATCTAGGGCAATCAAGGGGTTAAGTGTGTGCCTGACTATGTTTACTATGTGTAAAGTGTACTGCTTTTTACTAATAATCTCTGCTTTGCAGAGATGAGAAACAGAGAGACTGTTCCCTCTGTACAGAGCTCTGTATTGACTGTCAACACAGAGATCTGAGCTGTGATTGGACACAGCCTATCAGCAGCAGGTCCTAGCCATGAATCATTGCGCCTGCTGATAGGCAAGTGCCGGGGGGGCATGCGCTAGAAGCAGGCAGTAACATATGAGTAGGTCGCTTTGCCTGTGCAGGCCACCCGTCCGCAGTAGATTGTGGGCAGACGGGCAGTCAGCAAGTAGTTATACAAATAGACATTTAACAGCCAAACCTTACATGTTACTCTTTCTTCAGATTGAATATCCACATGGGCACCATCTATTGACTGTCAACACAGAGATCTGAGCTGTGATTGGACACAGCCTATCAGCAGCAGGTCCTAGCCATGAATCATTGCGCCTGCTGATAGGCAAGTGCCGGGGGGGCATGCGCTAGAAGCAGGCAGTAACATATGAGTAGGTCGCTTTGCCTGTGCAGGCCACCCGTCCGCAGTAGATTGTGGGCAGACGGGCAGTCAGCAAGTAGTTATACAAATAGACATTTAACAGCCAAACCTTACATGTTACTCTTTCTTCAGATTGAATATCCACATGGGCACCATCTCTGACAGCACTGAGGGAGAGAGGTATGTTCTTTCTCTGATCGTGTGTGTAATCTGAGTGCTGTGTGTAATATGATATTCTGATATCCAGGTCTATATCACAGGCTGTTCACAGCACAGCAGTAAACCAACTTTTTGAAGACTCTGGAGTCTTTTGCTGGTGAAAAATGGTAAGTATTAAATATTTATATCTAATATTTCCTATTTGCAGATCTTAACCCGTTCCTGCCACCCTGGTCTCCCTTTAAACAGTTCATAACACCCGGGGACAGAAAGTATTACTGTTACAGTGATTACATGATTGGAAGCCTGCTCTGCTGGCTACTAATCTGTAGCCCACACAGTGAGTTGTCTGTGACAGCTCAGTCTTTGTCCCCCATTGGGGAGATTTCATTTACTTCCCATCGCATAGCCAAAACAAGAATTGTGAGAGAATCCCTCCACTACCTCCACCAGAACTTGTGTCCTCATAGGAAGATGTCCCTTTTATACCTGTTCTGGTGACAACCCAAAATATAGGAAAACAGGACAAACAGAAAGGGTGAATCTCAAAAGCTGGAGAACAGACAGCAATAAAAACAGGTGTTCTAATCCATCTCCACTGTACCCAAAACAAAAAAAAATCTTTTGCTTTTAGTTATACTTTAAATACTAATACATTTCACTAAGAGTACAATAGATTGACTTATGAGGGGTTTATGTATAATCTTCATCAGCAACTGTAAATTGATATTTTTATAACTATAGGTTAGCCAAGTTACAAAGTTAGAAATATCAGAGCTTGGTTTGATATAGGTGTACAGTACATAGTTTTAGTAATTAATCTACTAGATAGCTTTGTATTGGAGGAATGTTTAATGTGCTAAACATGTGCGTGCCACATGGAATGCTCTATTATGCGAGAAGGGACAACCACTAAATTAACTACCTTATCTCAGACTTTATGGGGCCAACATAACTATCTAGACCAGCCCATTTAAATCTATTTGTTTGTATGAGGGCCATTTCAAAGTACCCTCTCTTTAGATATGCAATGGGGATGGCTATCTGTCCAGAATGCACAGTTTTCCCAGGTTATGACCTTACCTAACTAAGGTTTCCTCCAAACACTCAATAATGGAGGGAATTTTAATAAGAGAGCCTCAACACAGACGCCTCGGTGCCATGACCTGACATATGTAATTTTATCATCAAAAGGGAAGGCTCTGGGAAGGGGCTGAGTTATGCAAGCGATATGGGATGGGGAAATTGTCCAATCCTGGATGAGATGCGTCAGATATGGGAGATGGATTAGATAGTTCTACCAATCAGGATGGACCCATGCAAGTCTATGAGAGATAGGTGTATATCAGGGTAGATTTTGGGGGAAGACAGGAGAGAAGATCCAACAATCCTGGGGGCCCCCATGCTACACCATTGGTAAATATCAGGACATCTCTCTGGCACTTTATATGTATACATGCTTGTCGTATGTGTTGTCTTTCTTGCTGTTTGTGGGTTTAGGGTATGAGTATTATATTCTATAATTCATTGGTTTAAATTTTGTTTCTCTTTTCCTTTTTCTTATTGTAAAATAGATAGATTGTGGTATGTTAGTTTAGACCTCCTTACTATTCACTAATAAATTTTGGTTGTTGTGTTAAAACTTTCACTCTTGGTCAAAGAACTCTCATTAAGGTTAATCAAATCATATCAGAGAAATATTATATTTCATAATCTATAGATTTGGTAAACAAATACATGCTAGTTTTCATAAAATAATATAATAAGAGGTATAAAGTATTAGAGACTGGACCTGTAGAAGAAGCTGAACACCTTGTTTGGGATGCCTCTCTTGAATATCAAGGAAAGCTGCTTGTAGCATGAACTGAGCCTGCATCTCATAGTCATTGAGTGTTTCCGACTCTACAATGCCCTCAGTTATTAGAGCTGAGCCATCAAGCATGTCCTGGTCTAGAACAGATGAATAAAAATGTTATTTTCCCATAACAGCAATCTTGTTTTGAAAACAATACATCTGTCAGTACACTCAGATACTGTCAGTAAAGTGTAACATTAATGGCACAGAACTGTCAAGCATAGAAGAGGAGAGAGGAGGTTAAATTTGATCATTCAGCAAATAACCAGTCAGAAAACACCAAGCAGCAATCTAGTTGCGCAAGTAAAAAGAATACTCCTGTGGAATGAAGGTGCAGTTCCCCATTATATATTACTAATTGCAGCACATGTACAAAATGTCCTACTCTCTAGTAGGCTTGTCAAAGCAAGGCATACTTAGAAAGAGAGAACCTAATATAGATCATGTGTGGAATCAGAAAGCGACATAAATGTGAACATCTGCCACTGAATCGTATGCTAGCTCTGAGGAATTTATTTCCAGAGGGATATTGATAAAAAAAGGAAAATTATGAGAATTCCAGGTAACAAGCCTGGAGATGAGGGGAAGAAAAAAAAATATAGAAATGTAGTTGTCTGTATTCACAGCCAGCATTGTTTGACATATGTTTCTTATGCTGTAAGGGGATATTTGTAACAGTAAATGCAGTGTTTTCAAATTTGTGTCATTTACTGTCATGTCTACAAATGACTTATGATTTTTGCACTACTCACAAGTCAGTTACAATTTAAGCAGGCATGATGGTATGGCTATTTTTGGTGAATTTTATAGCATAGATATATGTGAATTGTTCAATTTAAAACCATGTGCTGTTTTCTGAAGCTATGCCTCCTCTACTGATATGCTAACGAACCCGGTGGACTAGTTTGTGAAACCCAGGGCAGAAAATGTTTTACAGGAAGTAAGGGGAGGGGAAAGGACTTTGAACAAGCCATGTGCTCAAAGAACAAATAAGCAACAGTTGTTCTGAGGACTTGGGGGGGGAAGAAACAGTAGTTCTAGAGACAAAGGAGGAAGCAGTAGTGATAGACAAGGAGAAGCAAGGAGCCATTAGAAGATTCTATCACAAGGAAACCCAAATTAAGTAGCTGATTAGTAAACTTATAACTATCACATACATTGTACATGCTTATTTGCTAGAAAAGATAGCTAGTTTGTGTACGTTGTAGGCATATTTTGTAATACTTTGTATGCTATGAATTGTGTATCTTGCAGTTGTATGTACAGTATTGTTGTTTAGTAAAGACACATTAGTACATTACAGAGTTTAAATTGCTTCCTTGGCCTTTACCACAAAGTAACCTTAATAGAGACGCAAGCAAAACAGCAGGATATTTCTGCATCCTGTTCCCTTCCCCGTTACCATGTTTCCCTAACAGTACCATCCACACTACCTTCCAAGATTCAGTGTACCACCCACAGCATGTGATGTGCACCACTAGTGGAGCATTCTTCTCAGTTTGGGATTCATCAAGGTCTACCAATGATTCCCATAAATACAATGCATTGCTCATGTTCCCCCACAAAACAATGACAAACCATTCTAATCCTCAACACCAGAAGACACCAGCCAACTAGGTCTGGAAGATCTTAAATACAGACCACAACATGACCATATGACTTCACATTGTTGTGAAAACTAGAAAAATAAGAATTTTTACTTACCTGTAAATTACCTATCTTGAATTTCAGTATAGGACTTGAATTTTTAGACCATGGGTTAAATGCAGCTACCTTCAGGGAATTGGACACTGGCAAAAAAAACTTGCAAGGGCCGCCCACAAAATGCACCAGCTCAGTGAACAGGAGTCTTGTTAGACCATGTGACATACTCATGTATGTCACATGGTCTGAGGGGTGGATAACAACATAGCAAATAGAACTGCCAACAAGCCCACAAAAGAAAACAAGGTTTAAATAACCTAAAACATAAAAACACAGCTTGGAACACCTTGCAGTCGAAGCTCACATCAACTGAGGCCTGAACATCCACCTGGCAGCAGGTGCTTAATGCTTAACTGCCCAAGAGACACCAACAGCCCTGGTGAAATGGGTTCTGATAGGGAGAGATTTAACTACGTTCCTAAGGATGAATGTCCTGGAAATGAGTTGTCTGCTCCACCTAGCATTGGTGAAATGAAAGCAGGATGCCCTCTCTTATGATAGAAGCTTTGGGTTTGAAACAGGCCCTGATCATATTTAGGAAATGTGGGGTGCTTTCCTTGTCATGTTTTGGAGCAGGAAACAAAAGAAGGAAGAACAATGTCCTCACTGAGGTGGAAAGAAGAGACCACCTTGGGTACAAAGGGAAGTTTTGATCTCAAAACCACATTGTCCTTGCTTAAAACAAGAAATTGTTCTTTACAGGAAACTACTGCCAACTTCGAAGCACACCTAACAGATGTGATGGTTATCATGAAGGCAACCTTACAAGTGAGGTCTTCCAACAGAATATCTCTAATTTGTTCAAAGGGAGGTCTCTGAAGTACAGAAGTACACCACGTTTGGATTGGAGGGTGCCACAGGAGGTCGAATTGGGAAATTTATAAGAGAAACTTCCTGAGGAAAAGTCTTTACGAGGGATTGTGAGGCAAATGGTATCTGGAATAAAATGGATAGAGCAAAAACCTGTTTCTTGAGGGTACTAAAGATCAGACGGCCAAGACCGGCCAAAATATTAGTGATTGGCAAAGCAATCCTTCTATTTGTAATAGTAAATTTTTCGGAAGTTAGTTTTTCTCCTTCTGAGTACCTTTAGGACTTGGGTTATAACAGCCATGCTTTTAAAACCAGCACATGCAAAGCAGGATGTAATAGGGGCCTTGGGCCAGTAAGTCTTATCTGGAAGAGGCCAAGAATTGTCCACCAGACGTCTGAGTATGTCTGTATTTACGGTTCTTCTGGGAAAATTTGGTGTAACCCTTTCCTCTGTAACCTTTTCCTCCTCTATCTTGTGTAGCAGTCAAGGGCAGATTTTCATTGGAAAGAAGCCATAAACCAGCTTAAACTGAGTCAAGGAATCACCACAGCATCCACTGCAAAGGCTGTAACATCACTGCTAGAAGATGAGGATGTTATTATCTGGTTTTCCCAAAACTTTGACAAAGATTCTAAAAGATCTCTAGCTGCAGAGACCAATCCCCCAGGTCTAGGCATTGGTGGCTTAGAAAGTACACCTGCCTGTTGCCTAAACCAGGGATATGGATGGCCCAGACAGCTAGAGTGTGAGTTTCCATTCATGAGAGTAGCAGGCATTGTCTGAATGTACCCTGACTGCGTGACCTTGCAGAAGGGAGATCCAGTGTTCTAAAGGCAATCTAATAGCTCTCGCTCCAGAATATTGGTGGGAAGTTTCCACTCCCAAGGGGACTAAGTCACCTGGAATGTCAGGGGACTGTAAAATCCCCCCCAGCCTGTAATTCTGGTATCCATTGCTACTACCTTCCAGGTATGCAAAGGAAATTCCTTCCCGATTCTAGGGCAGGATTGGAAATCCACCAAGCCAGGGATAGCTTTGACTAGTTTTTAGTAACCATTAGGTTAGGCTGTGAAGCATCAGATACTGTTAAGCAAAGACTAGTGTCACCGCATCAAGTAGTGTGTCCATTGCAGAGATCATTTAATGTGAAGCCTCGGCTTGTACCTCTTAAAATGCAGGGCAGGGAAAATCCTCTGTAGCCTCTGCTAGAAAATTTGGGTTCTCAATACATTTCTCCATATTATCCTCAAAGAAAGGAGATTCTACTTCTGCATCCTGAACAGGATGAGGGTGAACAGAGTACATATAGCATTGCTGCCTCTGGAGACTGAGGGTTCTAGAAGTGTTTAGCATTTTCCAAAGAATTCAGACATAGTGGCAGAGAAATCTGCTTGTGTCAGACAGACCGCATGGTGCATGCCTGAGTAGGAGCCAGAGTAAGAAAATAGGAGCTGAGTCGTAAGAGAACATTGCTCTGGGACAAGGAAACAATTGTCCCCCTGAGGTAAGCACTTATTACAGGATCCAGTGCCAGAAGCAAACATTACAGGCTGGCCATACACAGCTGGAGGTGTACACACTGAGGAAAACCAATTCAGAAACTGTTAGATAGCCCAGGGTAGTAAGTAGTCAGATCTTGAAAGAAGCTTGAAAAAAAATCTAATGGTTAGAAAAAGAAAAATAACTCTCCAGAGAAGAACAGGTCCATCATCTAAGGAAAAAAAAAAACCTTAAGGTTCATGGAGGGGACGGTATTATATGGTGTGCTCTTGGGTCAGTCCTAGAAAGTTCTTTTTGCCAGTGGCTAAATACCTGAAGGTAGTTGCATATAACCCATAGTCTAAGAATACAAGCCCTGTGTCCTGTATATGATTAGGATATTAGAGTTTGCTTGACTTGATGCTCAGCTACACAGTTATTACAGCGATGCCTTTTAATAAGCTGTCAGTGTCAAGATAAGATACTAGTGCTCCATGATAAAATCATGGTAGTTTGTAGTAATGGTTTGTAAAGTGAGGAAAACATGACATTTTACTCATACATTGCCTGAGGGCAAGCCAAAGGAAAGCAAGGAAATGGGCACTACTGTACTATATCATATCAGCACTAGATTGTTCTAAGGTATCTTAGAATCCTACATATGTTTGCCAGGAAGGGAATAGTGATAATTGAATCAGTTTAAAATCCATGGGAATCAGCAAATTATTAACTTTTTGATTCTCTTAATTATAGTTATAAATGTATTTGTCCAGATTGCGAAGAATTATCTAATGCCTGAGTCAAGAGACCAAAACCTGCATGATTCTCTGCAGATGAGAAGGATCAGGCCAATCAAAATTTGATAATTTTGTGGTAATTTCAATTCTGTCACAATCAGAAAGGAAATAATTTTTTGAAATGTCAGTTTCAAAGTTCCCTACATTATTATTATGTTACTTTGGGAGCTATCTCCAGAAAAGTGTGAAACATTAAAGTTTCTGAAAATGTCAGGATTGACAAAATGTGCATTGGTAAATACTTTTTTGGTGTCGATATCATTATGTTCGGAGGAGCAGCCATATACACAGAGGTTGGTGATGCAATGAATCCTACATGAATTTTCCTCAGTGCTGGCAATGCACTTTTCATTGTGATTGATGGTAATTTTGTTTATGTCTTAATGCATTTTTACAGGTTTACACTATGTTGGATACCTCTTTTCTGGGTTTTCCCTCCCCTGTGTTAGTCACGCATTGGGCAGCATGGATTCAATCATATAAGGCAGGGGTCCTCAAACTTTTTAAACAGGGGGCCAGTTCACTGTCTCTCAGACAGTTGGAGGGCCGGACTATAGTTTCAGAAAAAAAAAACTATGAACAAATGCGGACACAGTACAGGAGATGACCAGAGACTGCGGACATAGTACATGAGATGACCAGCGACTGCGAACATAGTACATGAGATCACAAGTGTAATAAAAGCGCCACACTCTTAATACTTTAAAGCAGCAATTCCACCTCAAAGAAACCAAATACATTTCTTAGTGCTATAACTTAAATAAAGGAATGCGCTAAAACCACAAACTATTCCTAATTTAGTGTAGAAACATTAGTGCAAAATATATATATATCTATTCTCTATTAATATCAAAAAATATCAAAATTATGTGCAAAACTATTTTTTAGTGCATAAGTAATTTAAATAATTAAATTTGTGAATATAAAAATTGTCCAATTTTGAATTTCTTCAAATGTCCAAACAAATCCTTTTCAAATTCAAGTGCTCTCAAAGAAATTGTGCCAAAATCCACCACCAAAGTAAAGTTGGGTAACTCACCAGAGCTCCATGCTGATCAATCTCTAGATCAGCAAAAAACGCTTTTTGCTCTGGGAGCAGATGCAATAAATCAACTTCTCAGGTGTGATGATCAATAGCTACACAATCATCCATAAGGTAGGTATCCACCACTCAATATAATGGTTCCAGGAGCATTATATCACTCTCTCTTTTTATATCTCTCCACCGAGGTCATGTTTGGGAATGAAAGAGAAAATCATGGTGCAGCCAGTTTTTTTTATAAAAGTATCCAACAATTTAATAAAAATTTACACTCACAAAAAGGGTGTCTTCACCGACACCAGTATAACAGCATAAAACAGCAAATGGTATAACAGTCTCCTGCTCCCCGCGCACTCACTACAGCGATCGTGACTCAATCCTCTCCACAGACGTCAGCATCCAGCAAGCCAAGCCCTACTAGTTTAGTCATGAATGGCGCCCCTTGAAGACGTCATTCATGACAAAACTAGTAGGGCTTGGCTTGCTGGATGCTGACGCCTGTGGAGAGTTGATTGAGTCGCGAGCGCTGTAGTGAGTGTGCGGGGAACAATTTTTATATTCACAAATTTAATGATTTAAATTACTTATGCACTGAAAAAAATAGTTTTTGCACATAATTTTGATATTTAATGATTTTTTGATATTAATAGAGAATAGATATCTTTTGCACTAATGTTTCTACACTAAATTAGGAATAGTTTTGTGGTTTTAGCGCATTCCTTTATTTAAGTTATAGTACATGAGATGACCAGAGACTGCGGACATAGTACATGAGATGACCAGAGACTGCAGACACAGTACAGGAGATGACCAGAGACTGCTGACATAGTACAGAAGATGACCAGAGACTGCGGACACAGTACAGGAGATGACCAGAAACTGCAGACATAGTACAAGAGATGACCAGAGACTGCGGACATAGTACAGGAGATGACCAGAGACTGCTGACATAGTACAGGATATGACCAGAGACTGCGGACATAGTACAGGAGATGACCAGAGACTGCGAACATAGTACAGGAGATGACCAGAGACTGCGGACATAGTACAGGAGATGACCAGAGACTGCTGACATAGTACAGGATATGACCAGAGACTGTGGACACAGTACAGGAGATGACCAGAGACTGCGGACATAGTACAGAGATGGTGCCCCATCATTAGTGTCAGTGTATGAGGAATAGTGCCCCATCATTGGAATCAGTGGGAGGAATTGTGCTCCATCATTGGTGTCAGTGGGAGGAATCGTGCTCCATCATTGGAGTCAGTGGGAGGAATCGTGCTCCATCATTGGTGTCAGTGGGAGGAATAGTGCCCCATGATTGCTAACAGTGGGATGAAGTGCCCCATCATTGGTGTCAGTGGGAGGAATCATTCCCCATTTTGGTGTCAGTGGGAGGAATCGTGCACCATCATTGGTGTCAGTGGGAGGAATCGTGTACCATCATTGGTGTCAGTGGGAGGAATCGTGCCCCATCATTGGTGTCAGTGGGAGGAATCGTGCCCCATCATTGGTGTCAGTGGGAGGAATCGTGCCCCATCATTGGTGTCAGTGGGAGCAATCGTGCCCCATCATTGGTGTCAGGGGGAGGAATAGTGCA